ATATCGTGCATCCCTAGTAATTTTATTTTTTGTGAATAAACAGACTATGTTGATCTGATATCCACATGTCTTTGATGGAAAAAAAAAAAACGTGAGATAGAAGAAAGTTGTAAATAGTAAATAATTTTTAAACACGATTTTCATATAAATTCTCTTTGTGCCACTTGCTGTTCAGAAAAGCAGGTTGACCGGAAGGACCTAAGCCACCCAGTTCATGTAGACAACTGTCTGCTGGTTTCGGAGCTCAAAGAGTGTAAAAAAGAACCTCCTGCTTACACTCACAGAGACTACAGGTCAGGTTTAAAAATTACCTGTGAAAGCCGTTCTAATCTACATCTCTCTAATATTGCAATGTGCTTCCTGCAGTGCCATACTGTATCTAAATGATGACTTTGAAGGAGGAGAGTTTATTTTTACTGAGCTGGATGCAAAAACAGTTACGGTAAGTGATTATTTGGACTGTTTTATTACCTGTTTGTCAGTGAAATGAAGAGAGGCATAATAAGTAAACTAAATGATTCTTTATTTACCTGAATGAATGTATAAATAAAAACATTATGAAATAATATCTGGGTAACAGCCTTTTTCCCCCTCAGATCGAAATGATCTGATTCGGCTGTTAAGTGTTTCCATTTAAGGTGAACAGAGTTGGAAACAGATAACAGACCAGAAAATAATAAAAAAGGTTGGATAATAGGATGGGCAGAGGATATTTTATGAACATAGTGTGCAGGGCTAGCTAAATGACATCACCACATAATATGCATATTATAGGTAAATACATTAGTAGGCTGAAAGTAATTACAAAATACTCCAAATCAATCTTATGTTATCAGATTCAACTTAAGGAGAGTTAAGAGGCACATACAGAGGATGAGGTTTGAATTATATGAGATATGAATTAAATGCGGAGAGGATCCAATTTAGTCCAAGTTAAAAGGAAAAAAATCTGCAAAATGTTATAATTACATCCAGCTATTGAATTCCAGGAGGATCAATAGTGTGATCATGTGTGACTACATTTCATTTGGAAAACGGGAGAGTCTCTCTGTCTCAGTGCATACACAGGCTGCTGCTTCTGACTCCCTCACACTAAGCATGCTTGTAGCGACAGTGGAGAGGAAAAACTCCCTTTGAACAGGAACCCTTACCCATTTCTGAAAGATATCCATGAAAACTTGGGTTTAAAGTGAGACACAGCAAACGTGTGGGAGAAGGAGCTCTGCTCAGATGGAACCAAAATCCAACTTTCTGGTAACAATCCAAAATGTTACGTTGGGTGTAAAAGCAGCATAGCTCATCACCCTGAACACACCATCCCCACAGTCTGACATGGTGGTGGCAAGCTTGAAAATTTCAGTTTGGGCAACTGGATGTGAAGTTTTCTAGAAGATGGTTCTCCTCTCATCCAAGAGGCTTCTTCAGTTCTAATTAGTGGTGGGGAGCACTGAGATTAATATCCTATAGGTGGAACAAAGAGTTAACGGGGACAAAAGGTGGTCGTTTGGAGGTTGTGATGAGTCTTTAACTCTCTCATCATAGTGGTTTCAGTCACAAGCCTCGTTGATGTGCAAAGATGGTTTCCTTAACCCCCCTCTCAAACCATCTGTCTTCCTTGGCCAGAATCTGGACGTTGTCCCTTAACCTTCAACTGTAGGTGAAGATCTGAGTCCTGTCTTTAGGAGTTGGCCCTCCCATGTTGAGCCATGTGCCTGTTTAGTGGTTGATGTGTTCTTCACTACACTGATCGGTGTAAACAACGTTGTCGGCCTTGTTTCTGGGTGCTTTTTCTGTCTTAAAAATGTGGTTTACCCAGTCTCCTAAACTGAATTCTTCAAGCTGGACTCAAAGAGGCTGAATAATAATTCTCAGCCAATTGTTCAGTTTTTCATTTGTTAAAAAACTTTAAAATATCCAATAAAGTTCGTTCCACTTCATGATTGTGTCCCACCTGTTCATTCTTCACAAACATGTTTTATCGTTTGCTTTGAAGCCTGAGGGAGGGAGGGAGG